TCATTACACAGTCACAATTGCCTATGCTGAGTTGACAGGAGTTCGTGGTACAGCTTTGGGTACAGCGATGTCGCGACAGACAATAGCGAATTAGTTACGTGTAATGACGTTCTATTGTTGAGCGATTTGTCGCGTACGTCTTGCTGTTAATTGCAAAATTATAACGGTGGATACATACACCTACGTGCATAATATATATATATATATATATATATTAATAAATAATAGAATCGCTGTAGCCAAATGGTTAAACGTATTACTTAAGGTTTAAAGATATTTATTTACTCGTAAGAATTTTCACAATTCACTTAAAACGAGAAATACATCTTGTTTTCTGTACAATTTCTCAGGCTATTTTATATAATTCTAGGATGAAAGAGGTTTTCTGTTATATTAGACTTATTTATTTATTTTTAAACAATTTTATACTTTTCAAGCATTACCTTCTTAGCATTGGTTAAGGGCGCGATGTCCCGGGTTCGAACCTTAGGGAAACAATAGATTGATTCGTAGGCAGGGTACAAGTCTGATCAACTATGTACTTGCTTGTAAATAACCAATCAGTGAAACGGACACAGAAATGATTTCGCCCCATGCCCCACCGAGGGAATCAGGATTGCACACTGAACATATTTAAACACGTCAATTTTTCTCACTTCTTGGGCAGTATTTATATTGTCCTGATTAGAAACAAGATAGAATTAAGATATCGATGATAAATGTTTACGATTATTTTCACCTTTACTACTTGCAAAACTTTTAGTAACGGTTAGAAAAGCAAATCCTACTTTATTATCGCCTGACCGTTACCTACCGTCTACTACCAATCTATCCCATAGGTTTAGTAGACATTTTTGAAATTGAAATGAACATAGAAAAAAAATAGACGGTAAAATGCTATTGTAAATAGTTCACAATTGTTTTAAATGACGTTTTCTGTATATTTTTATGTCATATCAGTACTAATATTTTAAAGCAGAAGATTTTGTTTGTTTGACCAATTTGTCGCGTACGTCTTGCTGTTAATTGCAAAATTATAACGGTGGATACATACATCTACGTGCGTATAATATGTATGAATCTATATTAATATATAAAGCTGAAGAGTTTGTTTGTTTGTTTGAACACGCTAATGTCAAGAACTACGACGTCTAATTGAACAATTATTTTTGTGTTGGTTAGAGCATTTATCGAGGAAGGCTATAGGCTATAAAACGTCGCCCTGTGACTAATAGCATTATTCATGATTATGGATTTCCGTTGCGTCCGTGCAAAAAAGGATTGAAAATATCCAAAACTATATTTGATAGATTAAGTCCTTTTTAAATGACCAAAAATCTGCCGCGACACTACAAGTTTATCTCTTAAGATTAATTTACCCGAACGACGGGACGCGGACGACGTAGTGGGTAACAGCTTTCATTTATACAGATGACTTAAATAACTATTCTACGCGCGTGCGCACAGCTTTTCAAAACTTATAAAAATCAACCACTTCAACGTTACATTAAAATTATTATATACTTTATTTTGTATCGGAATTGGAATACGGAAAAGAAAATATTAATTTATAAATAAATAAAGAGTACGCAACTTTCCTTCCTTCTCCTTTTCATGGTGTGTCGCATTTAAATAAAACACTTTAACTGTTTAAAACGCGATATATTAGTTAAACTTATTTGAAAATTATTTTTAACTTCGGCCCGACGTTTCGGATGCTTTGCATGCTTTAAGTTTAACTAATATATCGCGTTTTAAACCGTTAAAGTGTTTTATTTAAATGTGTACTACTCGCGTAAACTATAGACAGTATGGTGTGTCGCAATTCTTAAAAGAGTATCGATATTAAAAGAGTATCGCACAAGCAATTTAGATAACTTCTCGAGCTTAAGTTTCTTGGACATAGTCCATATTTCTACTAGCGATGTCCAATTTCACAAACTAATTTACAGCCGTCCCCACTCATCCTATTTCCGAGTGGGACCTACTCTAAACTTTTGATACTCGGAGACTAACTTTATAAGCTATTCTAAGATCTACTTGAATGGAATAGAGTCGATTTCATAAGACGATATCGTCTGAAAAAACTCCATTCCATTTGCTTTAGATTCCATTGCAATTTGAATTCCTTTTGATTTACTTACATTGAATATTCTTTTACTAATTATCAAAATGCCTCGTTGGTCTATCGATTACTCAAATCGACTGAAACGACTGCAGAATTCGAGTCAGGCGAAACGTTATGTTTGTATGAATGTTTGCTTGTGATTTTCGAGTTCAGTAAATTTTCAGTAATAGCACGGAGCCGTAAAGAGGCACTGATTATTACGGGAAGTGCGTTACACCGTCAATCCCAATAACTTAGTGATAGTAGTTAAAGTCTGCGTGATGAAGAAAAGAATCCAATGGTGATTTTCAGATTACAATATACATGATTTCAGTTCATTGCAAATTATTTAGTATTGATGTGTAAGTGTTTCTAGTAACGAACGTGAAAACCGTGACAACGGTTTAAAAATATGTTCTCAAAATTGTATATTAATTTTGTGTACAAAATAAATAATTAAATGTTTCGTTTCCAGGATCTTGTATGTTACGTGTACTACTATTATCACATCTATGCATATATTATGATAAAGCTGAAGAGTTTGTTTGTTTGTTTAATGACAGAACTACTGGTTTTATTAGAAAGTTTCTCTTTAAACGTTGTGACGAATAGGTGCATAACAGTGGGAAATTTGGAAGAAACGGGGATAATTATTTATCTTTAAGGGTTTTCATTGTGTGCGCTGCAATGCATAAAAGAAAGATTCTTTAAATGATATAAAAGATGTCGCGAAAGTTTATCTTTTAATTTTGCAAGAACTACTGAACGCGGATGACGTTGTGGGGAATAGCTGTAGCTGTAAAGATACATTATCATGACCAAAATACTACGCAGACGAAGTCGCTGACACATCTAGTACTACTAATGTAATACAACACAACTTTTGTGCACCAGGAGACTCCCTTAATTTTCTTATCATCCATATTTTTATTTAATATACACTTAAATAGTTTGTATGTATATTTTTGTGACTAATATTGTTTCTGAAAACTTAGTTAATCACACTTAGCTCTCTAATAGTTCTCACTCAGTCCACTCAAAGCCTCATATGAAGTAATACGACGTATGAAACACTACTACGCCAACATTACGATGACTTCATCAGATAACACTTGCTCAGTCTTCAAATGTACGGCTTTTGAATATCGAATTTTAATGATTCTATTCGTGTTATGGGTATCGTTATAAAATCGTTGACGAGAAAAAAAATAAAAAACTAAGAAAATATGAGCTTAAGTAGACATGGTGGCTCTGCTAACAGAATAAGAAAGACGGGACGCGGATGACGTAGTGGGTAAGAGCTATCATTTATAAAGATGGATAGGAGGTTTGCAAACACAAATTGCGATGGCCAAAATAATTATTCTTCGCGGATGCGATTTTCTCCAGCACAGCTATTTTTCAAAACCAACCACTCTGACCGATGGAAAACAATAAATTCAAATAGGTAGCCGCCACGGAGGATCCAGGGGGTCATGGGGTCGTACCCCACCTGTGTTTGTTCCAGAACTTAGGTGGACCTCTAATTGAAGATATTGATTTTATTTACAAATTAAAATGTGTTAAGTTCTTCAAGTGTACAATTAAGAATAAATATTTTGAAGAACATTACATTTACGTATTTATTTTTTTTGTTAAATTAAAGGTTCTTGACTTGACCACAACTCTGTGACTCCTGGCGCCAAAGTTGAATCCTTGGGTAGCCGTCGGTTGTAGGTATTTTTTTACGTTTAGTTAAAAACGTTGCATTGCGGTAGCATTTTATGATCAATTGCGAGTACTATTGTACATTATTTGGTGCAAGTTTACAAGCTCCATGACAGTTGGCGAGCCGCCACGTCTTGGGGTCATGCTTCGATATTAATCATTACTCCTGGCTCGAAGTAACCGCTAAACGAGAGTTTATGGTTACACTTAGCCCAACCTAACTTTCTTAAAAAGCAATTACAATTTCCAATACATCTGCTTGGAACTATTAGATAACTATTTAAATTTACAATTATTGCGAATAATATGTCACATTATCAAAGTAAATAATGGTGTTAGGTGTATGTAGAACGGCGATAAAACCATTTAAGGCTTTACAAGGTAGTGAACTGAGTGCTTCATTTCGTATTTGTACAAATATTATACATATATAGAATAATCATTGTGATTTTTAGTACGAAGTTATACAGCCCATTTTTACGAAACTAAAGAATATATATAATAAGTAGTAATTCATGCACTTAGATCTTAGTAATGAAAGTTAAATATCTATTAACTTAAAACACTTGAACGGTTTTAAACGCGATATTTATTGATTAAACTTATTTGAAAAATTATTTTCACTACGGCCCGACGTTTCCAAAGATTTGCAACAGTCAGTGACTACGGTTTAAAATAATTATCAAACAAGTTTAACTAATATATATCGCGTTTTAAACCGTTAGTGTTTTATTTAAATGTGTACTACTCGCGTAAACTAGAGACAGTATTCATCTATTTACTGTAAAGTTGAGTATCCGCATTTATTTCCCTATGTCTTACGTGGTACGATAGTGTGTTGTTAACTTGTAAATACCGATGACTAGACCAAATTATAACTCCGCTGAATTATCCTTCCTCCTCATTCAACCTCTCGCATGAATGAAGCGTTCTTGAATCTTATTCCAGCACTGTAGGTATAACCTGCAGGGCGTCTGAAAATTAGTTTATTTTACGTGTTATTAGGCAATACCGAAATAATACGTAAGACTCTGAAGGTTAGAATTAGCTCTAAGTGAGATTGCAATAACGTTATAAATCCCAGTGCTGTAAAATATCAATATCGATACAATCGATGTGTAGATTAGATATACGATATTAAAATTGTGACTAGGAGTTTGTGAGTGGCAGTGGTAGTTTGCTAGCGATGGCGCCGTGGCGTGAGGTACCCTATGAAATCCGGGACGTTACACCCGAGGAGGACAAGATCATCAAGAAGTGTCTGATCGGTATGTGCTATATTTGTAAGAGGTTTGACGAAATCACTTCGCGGTAAAGATAATAAAATTTGGCAATTTTTTTTCGATTAGTAAGTACTAGTCTAAAGCATCCGAAACGTCGGGCCGAAGTTAAAAATCATTTCCAAATAAGTTTAACTAATATATCGCGTTTTAAACCGTTAAAGTGTTTTATTTAAATACCTTTAGTGTTTTACGAAAAACTAAATGTGTTATTATTGTACCATTAAATCGGATCTACATTTAAAATAATGTATTTTTCACCATTGTTGATGTTAATGTTTCTGCGTACCATAAATACATCTTTGTCGATTTTTACTTATTATCTGTTTACCTTTCACGAAATATAGTTACACATAATGTGACGAAAAACTGTAAATGATGCGTCTGTCTGTAAAACAGCTCTACCATGATGCATGATAGATTAGATAACTAGTGTATGTCATCTCATCTTTTAATCCATAGATAAGTGAATTAACGATGTTGTATGTTAAACAGGTAATTTTATTATAGTGTTGCATTGTTTGATATCTATTGCTCTATTGCACTAATATTACAAAACTTATAAGAACTAAATTAATGTTTATGACGTCGATTTACCTTAAATACAACTAAATAGTTGATATGAATAATCCTTCGACTTAGCGGGGACGACACAACACTAGTGCGACGCGATGACCGCGCGCGTCCCCGCACTAGCTCAGGAACTGTAAAGTACGAACGTTGGCGCGCATTTTGTAGGCTACGCCTAATTTTGGCTAATAAATGATTGTTTTAGAATTTAACATTGTTTTTCCGTCCTAATAATATCAAAAACGAAATTTAACATAAATAATGGCATTTGTTTTTAGACAGACAAGAAGGTGAAATACCAGCTATATAACATCTCATAAGATGCAATGCACCTTTTTTTATCTGTACGGTAGTTCGTCACCCAGGTAGAATTTTCAATATGTACTACCCATTCAATATCCAGTCCAACATGGTACAGAAAAAATAAATCAAATTAAAAAATATTTATACCATAAATCGCTATCTCTAGAGTCTAGACCAACGAGACAAAATGATGTAATATCTCTTATATAAACATCATGAACCAAAATTAATTAAACCCGTATTAATATTTGTAATTGTAGTATTATTAAAAATAAAATAATCTTTAGATTTCCAAGTCGAGAGCACTTATATACAAAAGAATTGTAATTTTTTTTTTAAGTGGATAGTGGACCTATATATTTTGGCCCTGAAATATTTTAACGTTATCTTTAGAATTCGGAACCAAATTATCTAATACGCTTCGAGATAAGGCTGCGACCAGAGATTGAATCGATAAAGGCATTGGCTATATACAAACATCGGAATGGATCATGATTCATGCTGTTGTATGGTGTTTTACAAGTTGCTAATGTCTTTAATCCATTACAAGGTCATGGTAATTGGTAGCGGTAAACTATTGTATCTTCAAAATTGGATTGCTAATTTACACATTCAATGTTGCCTTTTTACTAAATTATGGGTACGGTATAGTAACACCGCTCTTGGATACAAAAAACTTAGCGGGTATGTTTTGACATCCGATAAGAAAGAAGTTTGATAAATTAAATATAAAAATTTGGGCCGACACCTTTTTATTCACCTTTATTTTATTCTTAATAAATAATTATTAAATGACTTTTTTTATTTTGGAATGTATAAACTAACATAATAAAATTACGTATGACCTAGTGAATAAATTTCACGTTGTAAACTATTAAACATTTGTATTAGTTAATGTATATCATTCCGGTAAAAAAGAAAAATAACATTAACTGTGATACACTTGTTTGTGGCATGCGTATTTGTAATAAAATTATTTCCGAAAACAAAAATTCATGTCCACCAAGTATAAAGATTTTTATTTTTTCGTATTTACTTAGGTAAATAGCGCATTTTTTGTCACTTTTGATGTTCTGAAACAATTGGATGAAAAAGATAATGATAAGAGTCGCAGTTATAAATAATTGTTTAAAATTCAGGTGTCTGTAGCTATATTAAAATGTTCTTCATTGATTCAAATAAATAATAAATGGTAACCTACTAGGTACTGCTAAAATTAAAAATAGATCATTTAAAAATAATTTAAGTTTGTAGTTATACCTTATTGAATGTTATCAAACAAGAGTGTATCATGTAGATACTTCCAAAGAAACCTAGGTATATAAATATTAATTTTGCCTACATTTTCTTTTGTAGACTCTTCAATGCTTGAATGTAAGTAGGCGAGAATGAACCGAGATTAGTTGGAATTGTTGAGATTCTTTTCTAGAAACTTTCTTTCGAAAAAATAACTTAGAAGGAGAAGTTTATAAGTAATAACATGTATCGAACGAATCCAGGGCGCTTACCACCATAGCGGCAGTGGTGTATTAGATTTGGCTTTACATACTCGTAGAAGTTCTTTAAGTTCAATTATGCCTAAATCATTATATTTTGTTACTTCATGGACTCTACCTAATTATTTATTTGTTGTATTATACTATTTTTGAGAAATTAATTATCATTATATAAATTATATTCATTATGAACCAAACAACGATATCCGCTTGTCATACTGCTTGTTACATGACGGGCAGTTTTACTAATTAATTCTTGCAATGAGAACATTTTATTCTAAAATAATTGTAACATGAAATACGTAATAATCATTAAAATTGTATCAAAAGTCTGGTCGCTTTATATTGTAATTTTTTAATAGCTGATCCAAAGAAGTTGTAACTACTACTACAAGTGATCTTTCATGTTTTACAACAGCTGATTTATTTATAGCCGGTTGTTGCAAAGCATCCGAAACAATGGGACGTAGTTAAAAAATGTTAACTATTATTGTTATTTCGCGTTTAAATCCGTTAAAAGTGTTTAATTTAAATGCGCAAACTACGAACACTACGTAAAAATGTATTAACTCAAAATTTAATAAGTAAGTACATATATATTAGTCTTATAAAAAAATATAAGTTAATCTTAACAATGAGTAATATTTCAAGTACACTTTAGTCTACAGTCTACACTTTTCGTCGTAATCACATTGTTATCATGGATACGAGCTGACTAAACTACGTGATAAGAGTTACTAAATATAACAATTTAACTCAAGTATTACGCAAAATAATTTTTATTTATTTAACTTATTAATATTCATAAAAACCGTCTAGCCATTTTCAGTACCTTAGGAAGTCCATGAAAACTCTTCAAAATCCCCCTGTCTGTCCCCTCTGTCCTCCAGCAAACCGTCCGTATTAACTACTGTCAAAATTTAATAAATAAATTTTCCTTAATTTTATTTAAAAAAATCGGAACAAACTAAACCAACATTTTTCGAAAAATAAATTTGAAACACATTGAAGAAATAATTCTTTTACTTAGCTACAAAATGATGCAACACCCTGTTAATTTTCGATAACATAACTATGTATGACACGTAACGCTATTTATTATATTAATTTCGCTAAGAATAATGCAAAATAATCATTTATCGTAAATGCCACTTATCACAAATAACAAATATCTTAAAGTATAGATAAACTCAAGAACGCTTGTACTCGGTTTCTTTGAGTATTACAATTAGTTATTTATCAAGCCTCATGAGTTATGATGATCATAAAAGCTCTGGGTTTTTTATTGAAATAATTTATGACACGGGCGGGAATCGAATTCATGACTACGTTGTACCGTGATACATCATTAACGGAGTTACCGCGTCCTGGGAGTCATTGGTTTTAATTTTCAATAATTTTATATATGCAGACCCTAGGTAGGGGTACCCTATACCCGATATACCCGAGCACAAATTTCAACTATTTCGTAGAATGCGCACCTTACGTCCGTAGGTTCAAAAAAAAAGAAATGGCGTCGGGCTTGTTAGTGTAATGGTAGCAATGTATGCCTGATAATCAACGGGTCGACCCCCCACCGGGTCCAACATTTTCCTAATAAATTTCTGTAACATGTTGGACGTCGTCGGGTAATCCGGATATTAGATGGGTGGTAGGAATATCGAATTTCCTTCCGTGTCCCAAAAAACCGGCCACATATGAAAAAGCCGTCAAGTTTAATCGTTTAATTTTTGTAATATACAAACAGTACCGAATTCATATACACAATACACAAGAATAAAACGAATTGAAAATCTACTTTTTTGAAGTCGGTTAAAAAGACATACATTTAAGTAATATGTAATATTAGTACTGTAGCACATTAAACAACATCGTTTTGTCACTTATAACTACGATAGTAAATCGTATTCGACTTGAGAGTACAAAAATATTTTATACAAGAAAATATAAATTAATTTTAGAATGTTCTAGTATGTTCTGTTTGACGTGAACTAGTACCTATCTTATTAACGATGTACTTACGCAAAACAAAATACCCATATCTATGAGTATTTCGTCAATTAATCAGATACACATTTAAGTGCGATGCTCTAGGACGGTTGCACGCAATGCACTGGATCATATAGATAATTATTATGTGATTAAATCTCTAATAAACAAATAATCGAAAACAAACCACACACACTAATCTATACTAATATAAAGCTGGAAAGTTTGTTTGATTGTTTAAACGCGCTAATCTTAACAGCTGGTTTGAATTAAAAATTTTGTGTTGGATAGACCATTTTTCAAAGTAGGCTATATAAAACATCACGCAGCGACCGATGGGATCGTTGTGGAAGAAAGGGAAAATAATTTTTGCTGGCTACCGTTGCGTGTCTACATTTCCCACTGTTTCTTTGCTTCTTTTGAACGCAGCCTAATGTTTTATAGCGTATACGTTCCTCGATAACTTTCAGTTGGCACCAGTAGTACCTTAGATAGGGCGTTCAAACTTTTCAGCTTTACAATATTAGTAAAGATTATTGTTGAAAACAACAAAACAACTTGTATATAAGGGTTCATGTATCAACATGATAACGATAAATAACATTGGGCGTTGTAGCAAGTTAATACCAAAGCGTTCAAGTAGATGAGGATAAAAGTACGACAATGTCATAAACCCGTCGTGTCGATAAACTATACGCAACCCGATGATTATTTTAGAAATCAGTTCAAAGTTGTGTATTTTTTATAACAAATTATTGAAGCCTGATTGACTTCATGGATAGTAAATTTCGTCAAGCCCTTTAATTTCGATGTGAGTATGACTGTGACCTATATTGGCTTAGGACATTTGTAATTTGCAAACTGCACAGAGAATTTTAACTTAAGTATACACAAAAATAAGTAGAGCTTTTAACCTTTTGTGTTTGAGGTTTAAATGATTTAGTAATAAATATTTATGCCACTGATTTTATGTCTAGATTTTTTAAACAAGATCCAATATGTTTAGAACAAGCAGAAAATTAATAACAAATATTTTGCCCTCGGTGGCAATCGACCCCCGTTGTTTATTGTTAAAAACCGATACATCGTTTTTTATATTGTATATTAATTTTTATGTGTACAAAAAATGGTTACATTGCTACCACCACCATTCAAAAGATTTTATTTGACAATCTTATTAATATCCTAAATCTTTTATTTTCAGGTTACACTAAGCCCTTTGTCAAATGTGGTAAAAATGAGTACGTGATGCCCAATGTGTTTCGAAAGCATGCGGAGTACATCTACAACTTCAAAGTCCGTCCAGACGATATATGGGTCGTGACGTACCCTAGGTCAGGTGAGGCCTAAACAACTTTCTTTCTAATAAAATAATCAAGAAGATTCTAAGAACCGACAAGCACTATTGAATACATTATTCAAATACGAATCTAGTTCTTCACATTGTATAAAGAATGAAAACTGTTGATTTGAAAACCGTACTAAAATTCCCTTAATACTTCAAAGAATAATTATGTCATCATGTTACTTCGATCTGAGTTAGAAGTCCGGCTAAAAATGTATTGTTTTATAGTATGTTTTAACGGGTTTAAACTCAGAATTTTACTTCGTAGTTTGCCTAGTAAAGCATATAACCACAACAACAACAATTAATATCAATTTCTATGGTTGATTTAAAATCAGTAGTTTTGTTAACTTATGTTTAATCATTCATTTATTTCTTTTGTTTGTTAAATTTCTGTATATGTTATGAAATATCAATAGCTTATTGCTATGAGTAACATACTTGGTTGAGTGTTATTCAGTCAGTAGGGTTAAATTGTTTATATAAAAATACTAGCTGTACCAGTGACTTGTCAGCGTAGAATAGTTATATATGCATACCTAGAACCGTTTTCGCATCGCCCGCAACGGTAATCCTCAAAAATTAATATCTTAACCCGTTTTTTCCACATTTCCGAATGTTTCTTCGCTCGTATTGGTTACGTCATGCCATGTTATAACCTAAAGCTTTCCTCGATAAATGCTCTAACCAACACAAACAATTTTTCAATTCAAACCAGTAGTTTTTAAGATTAGCGCGTTCAAACAAAAAAAACTCTTCAGCTTTATATATTAGTATAGATATAATAACAACAACAGAACATGGAACATTCGACATACGTCAGCACATTGATATCACTTGTTGCTAACAGAAAGCCCAGTATGTGGATAACATAGTGATAGAAGCGTGACACCATAATACAGAGATAAAGTACTTACTCATAACAGTACTTATTTTAGTCTAGTGGGTAGGGAAACCCGGGTTTTTAGATATAAAAATATAAATGTCCACAAATAAAAATAAAGCAGAAATTATTCAACAACAATATTATATCGTTTAAAAACAGCGCTTTTAACGGTTTTAAACGCGTAATATATTAGTATTATTTTTAAGGAGTACTACTAGCGTAAACTGACAATACTTAATGTTTAATCATACTCTTATTTGGTTGCAGGAACGACATGGACGCAAGAAATGGTATGGTTACTGGAAAACGAGCTAGACTTCGAGGCATCAATAAAAAAACCGCTCTACGAACGATTCCCAATGTTAGAGTGAGTCAACGAAAATTACTATTTCGGTATTCAATGATAACTGATAAGATAAAATTCAATACGAAATTGCGTAGGCTAATGTAACACTATTCGACCGTGTTATAAATGGATATGTACAAAGTTAATCTAAATGACGCATAAATAAAGCAAGTACCTACTTAAAGATTTAAATGAAACACTATAACGGTTTAAAACACTAAATATATTAATTAAGCTTATTTAAAAATTATTTTAATTGGGGCCTGACGTTTCGGATGTTTTGCAGCAGCCGTGGGCACAGGGAGACTAAAGATTGTATATTGATGATGTTTGGTGGTATATGATATTATATTCATTATTTTATTGATTTAATCGTAGGATAACAACACAAATACCAGAAATTGCGGTTGAATTGATCAAGATCAACTTTATGAACCTGGCGAAATTCCAAGGCCTTAACAAAGCTGTGAAGCGTCCGAGTTGGGAGACCATAAATGAAGCCCCATCACCACGTTTCATTAAAACCCATCTCCCACTGTCTCTGCTGCCCCCGAACCTCCTCGACACAGCCAAAGTGATATATGTAGCGAGAGATCCCCGAGACGTCATGGTGTCAAACTATTATCTCCACAAGATGGTGGTGAAAGGATTACTGAGAGGCACCTTCATGCAGTTCTGGGAAGCGTATAGACGAGATATTTGTAAGTAATGTGTAACTTATTAATTAACAGATAAAGCTATGGTAGAGGAGGACAGTTAAGTATGGGGGTGATAGACGGTTGAAATACCCCAGACATATATCATCTAAACAAGACGCACTGTCGATCTATTATGGCTTTGGGATCGGCAATCCACAGACTGAAATCGCTTGACAGCTTTTTCATCTATGGTGGTGGTTCGTGACAGTCCAAATATCATTTCGATATTCCTACCACCCACATGCCACATTTCCATGCAAAGTCCGACATGTTTCTGAAATACCTATTAGTTGATTAGAAATTTGTCGGACCCAACAAATAATTTTAGCTATAAAAATTCAGGTATAATAGGTTTTTTACATTGTATTTTACCAATTTATCATAAAAAGTAATTTACGCGTAATGGCGTCGCGGGCGCAAACAAGTTCTTGATATCATTTCCAAATAAATAACTTATTAAAACTGACTTCAGTAAGACTAAAATATAAAACGTTTTATTTACAGTTCCTTACATGCCTCTTATTTCACATGCAAATGAAGCTTGGGAGCAAAGACATCACCCGAATCTCCTATTTATGTTCTATGAAGATATGTTGCAGGTAATTTTTATAAATGATTCATTCTGATCATCATTAAATAATGAAAAAAATGATATATTTTTTATTTTACAGGACCTCCCAAAACATATACACAGTGTAAGTGACTTCCTTCAGAAGACCATCACAGACGAGCAGGTGGAAAAACTTGCGGGCCATTTGTCATTTAAGAACCTTAAGAAAAATAAGAATGTCAATAATTCAACTGGCGACACTGAAATACAGTTTATAAGAAAAGGTATGAGAGATTTATGGACACCACATATTGTATTGCGGCTCTAGATTGGAGGGTTCATGAGTTCAACACTGTTAACGGTGTAAAACGTGAAATTTATGAGTAAGAATATATTTATAGAAATATAAATGAATAACAGGGAAACTAGTGACTCCGGTTGCTGTTAAGCATTCGAAGCTTTCGGTAGTTAAAATAAATAGTAAATAAGGTAACTTATATAGTTTGCGTTTTAAACCGTTCAATGTTTTATTTTAAACATGTACAACGTAAACTATAGATGATATTTATAATATTCTTTAGATGATATATACCTATGTGTTTAAATAAACTACGAATCAACAATTAAAACGGACACGACAATTTGTTCGCCCCAGGACCTATTAAAAACTTTCATCGTTTTATGCCTATGCTTGGCTAGTGGACATTGGATATTAAGACAATCATCATATAATACAAGACAATAAAACCTACCTACCTATTTAGTAGAGTCGTTCTAGAATAAAGAAAGTTTATTTTCAGGTGAAGTTGGTGGATGGAAAACGCATTTTGACGCCAAAATGGAACTTCAGGCTGAGGAATATTTGAATACGAGATTAAAAGGACTGTCCTTACAATTTCCTACCTACGACAATGACGATGAATGTTCTAGATTATAAGATGGTTGTAGTCTAAATAATGACAGATAACTCTGGAAGTTATGTTTGTTATAAGACGAGAGAGCGTATGTAAATATAGGTAATAGAGAGAAATAAAAAGAAGAAAGTTTAAAAAGTCTACATCTAGTACTTGCTGCATTACGGACGAAGTATAGTTTGATTATATTTATTCTCATATTAAGTCGGGTATGTAATTTCAGTGGTAGCCACGCATGGCTATTATACGATTGGTCGCGGGTTGATTTCCATCAACCTTATTTTACATGTTACAACCAACGTTAGATATAAGTTAAATCAACAGCACGGAACTCTGTCGATGCCGCTTCAAGTCCTGCCGAGTCGTTAATTCTTTCAATATTCTCGTTTCGATTTTAATCCGTAAATGCCAGCTGTCATAAATAGGTACTTAATGAACCATAAGTTCGTCCGTCTTTGGTGATATAATTAATATTGGTATAATCATGACATATAACACTATTAGTTTAAGTTTATCTTGTAAATACTAAGTCTGTTGTAATTATAACTAGTTGTAAAGAGGATTTGGGTTTCAAATTGAAGCCTAAAGTTGTCCGTCCCTACATTACTATACTGATAAATAAATAAGGGGGTGGTGTCACCTCCCAAACGAGAACAAGAATTTTTCTTTCATTCTTACTCATTCAAGTATGTATAGAACGTTCTATTAATAAAGATTAAAAATAATGTTACCTTTAATGTTTACTGCAAGAATGATGCATTGTTCGACAATTTTATAAAGAATGAAAAGAAATTTGTTTCATACATTAATTGAATATTTATTTATTTCATTCCTAAGACTAAACTTTACGTATTTTTCACGTGGGTTTTATAATGGTGTTAAAAATAAGCACGAAATATTCATAATCATAATATATGAATATTTTTCGTTGCATAATTATGTTTTATTAAGTACACATTGTTTTATAACTGACTGATTGACAAACTTTATCTATGACCTGCAACGTTTATCAAAAAACACTTCGATTAGTAAATAACATAAATTCTTTTAAATAAAATATTTTAACGGTTTAAACGCGCTTGTTTTTAGTTAAACTTATTTAAAAAATATTTTAACTATGGCCCGACGTTTCGGATGCTTAGCAGCTGTCGTGGTCCCGGGTTGCGCGTTTTAGAACGTTATTAAAGCGTTTTATTTAAATGTGCACTAATCGTGTAAACTACAGACAGTGCTTAACAGAAATACTCATTAAAATATTGATTGGTTTGTACTTAGAAGGACTATAACTTTACAGGAGTACCAAATGATTTTCTAAGTACTCAACGTTAATATGAAATGATAAATGACTATTTATCATCAGAAATCTTCGGGCTATAACTTTATTAATACTACTACACGTCAGTACCGGGTGCCGACTGAAAACTTTGCGCTTCAACGAATTTGCAAGTTTGCAGCCCTGTATGCCATACCCACTTTAAGCAGCGTTAAAATTATTAGTTTTTTTAAATCCGAAAAGCATTTGTTCCTACCGTTGTGTTCATCATCATCATTGTCAGCCCGTTTGGGTCCACTGCTGGACGTAGGCCTCTCCCAAAGCATGCCACTCGGCCCTCTCTTGAGCTCTATTTATCCATTTGCTGCCGGCCACTTTCTTCAGGTCATCTGTCCACCGTTGTGTTGCCTGTTGGAAATTTGTGAATCGAAATGTACTATGCCAAAACAGGTCGAAATCGGTTCTTAATTAGAATTTATATGTTCGATGATGTTAAGTCTACAAACGTCTTCCTTTTTGTGAATATGATGAATTAAATGAGTACTTATAATGCAGCTTAGGTTTCTGATCTGTTTGGGTGTCTTGAAGACGAAAAATTCTGATGATATGTGATTGCAAAATTGGCTCAAAAGTCCGGTAACGTTTACGTCTTTGAGACGGCCTCGTTGGTGAAATGGTAGCATGTATAGAAAATAATCAACGGGCTGTGTGTTCGATTCTCATTGGATCCAAATTTTTAAATCAATTAGTATATTTTGTAAAGGTTGTTGAAGTGGAAGTGGTAAGAATATCAAAATTACGTCCGGGTAACGTAGAGCTGTCGAGTTTAATCGCGTTACTGTTTCAGTCTGTGGATTTGCGAATAATCAAAGTTAAAATAGGCCAACAGCGCATCTTGATCTGATGTAATATGATCTGGATTTAAAAAAACGCCAATTTTTTGCATTTTTTTACCCTAGATTTTTTACATTGACTGCAAAACGTGCATTTTTTGAAACGACTACACCTCTAAAGGCCCCAGCTTTCCCAAAACTTAATAAAACCCAATATTCCTGAATCCGTCCCCTAAACGGAAGCTATAAATCAAAACTTGTAATAATCGTGACTATAAATCTTCTCGTGTTAAAGATGGTTACATCTCTCTTGTGTTTTAGTTAACTTAAACATATTGTGGAGATTTAAGACTTTAGCTTAGTTGGATTTTATCATTTATCACACATTTGCGCTAACTTCGATCAGGCAAACAAAAAACAATTATGAACAATTCAGTTCAATATGTAGAAAAAGAAGTTTAATAAAATACTGTCTGTAGCATACGGGAGTAATACACATTTAAATAAAACACTTTAAACGGTTTAAAACGTGAAATACCTACTGATTAATTTAACTAAGGCCCGACGTTTTCAACTTTGACATTAGAGACAATGCTGTACAGCAAACGAAACGTCGGGCCGTGGTTACAAGTAATCTGTAAAGTTAAACTACTAAATTTCGCGTTTTAAGGTGTTTTTTTTAAGTTTAATACATAAATGAAATAGAAAAGTGGATTAAAAACTAATTTCTATGCCTATCCCTTTAAACTTAAGTGAATAATAAATGTCCAATTGTTAACTAGTATTGAGGTATTCAGGAATTTCAAGAGAAATTTGTCGTTCAAAGTATTTGCTCATACATTTCAAATAGGATAAGACAATGGATGTGGGTTATTCTAAAGATCGGAACAGGTAAGTCAAAAGCTAACAATAGTAACTTTTGTTTCCTATTAACTCCGTTAATACATCCATCGGCCTGTTAATTATTTCATTAATCAAGCGTAAATGATAGCGCGTTTACAATGACTGGCACATTCTTACTTGTACTGAAAATTACATAATAATATGTAGTATAAAAAAACAGTATTTAGATAACAAATATATTATTTGCGTATTTTAAGGGACTGTTGCTGTGTAGATTGCGCGAGTAGTTCACATTTTAATTAAACACTGTCATCGGTTAAGGCGCAAAATATAAGTTAACTTATTTACGGCCCGACGTATATCGGAACCTAGAATGCTTTACAGCACATGTGGTCGAGGGCGGACTGTAGATGTAGAAAGTCCCTAATGTCAAAGTCAAATATTCTAGGCTAGCGCCATTTGTTTTACGTTAGTTTAGTTCGGGGCGTATGTATTAAGTTAAAAATAAGTTAACTAATATAATTCGTGCTTAAACCCGTTGAAAGTCTTATTTAAATATGTGTGTTTACAAACACTTACTTACATTGAGTAGTTAATTAATTCAAATATAAACCTCTTTATCAAGACTGTTTCCACGTTCTTAAACTTATTCTTATAGGTTGCAAACTATGTTTTTCTACTATTTAGAAATTAATTTTATCTTGAGCGATTATGCCGTCGTTTGATTGTGTATCAGTTGAAAATTTCGAGGAAAAAGATAATTACGATCAATTAATAAATAGTTTCTCATAAAAACGTGTATTGTTTACAGGTTATATCAGTAACGAAAGTACGAAGTGGCATAAACCAACCGCCCATCCATAATGGCTGAGTAGAAGCCAGCGGTTCATTGTTAAAGCACAAAGAAAGGCATAATTAAGATAAAACCAACACAATCGTACGCAGCTCGCCGTTTTGCGCCTATTATTGTGGGCTAGATTAATGAGATTAACGCTCATTAATTGTAACGAGTTAAAATTTATGAGATAGTTTCTTTTTCTCACATTATACAGGGTGCCGTCTGCCCCCTATTTATTTAACAGTGCATTATACTAATTGTAATGCGCTTATTTCCTCCTATCTTTCGTGTCCCCGTGACCACGGCTGCTGCAATGCATCCGAAACGTCGGGCCGTAGTTAAAATAATTTTCAAATAAGTTTAACTAATATATACCGCGTTATAAACAGTTAAAGTGTTTTATTTAAAAGCAAAAAAGTCAGAAATAAGCACTTAGCAGTTTTCAATTATTGTCATTCGTTCTAGTGTAAAGTAACCATAATCTGATGTTATTATCCATTAGAAACAAAATAATGATATTTAGCAAATAATGAGCTCATAACTTGTCAAGCCAAATTCTATCAAAATTAATGTGATAGATGTGACCACCCTGTACATTATTTTTATTCACGTATGAAACGACTGCTAAGTTAAATACACTATGCGAAAACTCAACATCCTTGAAAAAGCTTGTTATCGTAGGAAAAGATAAAGACAAGGGGCCTAACGGATGGAATAAGTACCCCAGGTGGGTCTCATCTATGTTGTATAGTGTCATATTGTGGTCAGTGTTTGTAGGTCGAGCCGACTTGAACTAGCCGATGGCAGAGAAAAAAGTCTTCACAAAGAAGTCTTCTGCGGGATAAAACGTAAAATGCATTGCATTCACATAACCACATTTGGCCTCCGAAAAATTCGTAACATAATAGTTTGAAACAAGATATAGAACATAAAAATTATATATTATACATATATAAAATTGTCGGTCTTTTTGCTTATATCAAATGAAAAAATAACAAAATTCAATGAATAATCGATTTTTAGATTGAAAAAGTTGTACAACACGAACAGACTTGAGCCGGCATCCACAGCGTTTCGTGATGTTGTTTTTAAATCTAAAAATCGATTTTTATTTTATATAATGCCATCATGTGTAATAACATGTGAAAAATATTATTGTTTTCATTACAGTATTAGGCTAACACAGCATCAATGTGAAATATATAATAGTAAGTAAAACAGGAACCTTGTTCACGGGATGTCTGTCCAATACTTTTTAATAATAATGCCACGTCTATAATACAGAATTGTTAATACGTAAACAAGAGCCACGCCTTTATTTAAATGTGATGTCGACCTTGTAACCACTAAATATACTTTGCTTAAATTAAAATCATACGAGTTGAATGTGATTAGTGATAATGGTTATCAGGCAATTTAAACAATACAAATGTAAGCTTATGTAATGGTGTTTAAGAGTAGAATATTTTACATAGGGTTACATTAAAACAAAAGTAGATTTAAAATGAAACTTCTGTTAGAAAGATTTATTTTAAATTAACTAATTTAGGAAATTATATATATATATATATATATATTATAGTATACACTATACAGCGTTACAGGCCACTAAACCGAAAGAAGAAACTACTTTTGCTAATCCGCAGACTTAAATGCCGTTATTATAACTGTTATGACATTCAACAAAACTTACTAGTACTTTTATAATTACAATAATAAAAATCAAATAAATGTAATGTTTACTCTATTAAATGAAATGATAATTAAAATACGTCAGAAATGAGAAGTTAACAACAAGATCCAGTCGCACTGCGCACACGCAGTGAACGGTCGTGTTATTTATACATTCAAAATGGCGGCGCGAATCACACGGCAATTCTTGATATCGAGCCGGTCCTACAGTTCGGGAGGTGACAAAAATGTCGCTTTCCTGGGACTTGGTAATATGGGGGGGTTTATGGCAGCTAATCTAGTTAAAAAGGTAAGTTTGAGATTTAATGTTTTCTATGATTTCGACACCATTAGTTATTAATTATTTATCGACTCGCAGTTTAGTTATTTCATGACCAAATCTCTGCTTAATTACTATGTAAATATGAATTGTCTCTATATATGTTGGTGTTTGGTGGTACTCGTACTAGAATTAATATTGTCATTGTAATGATGGTTAAGTCTTAAGTTGAAATATACACTTTAACGTTGACTCGAGGTAGGAAAACATTGTGAGGAAACCGGCTTCTGACAACATAAGTTCTCTAGCATATTATGTACGTGGGCCGCTTACTTCAATTATGTCACGTTGGTTTAGTGATATCGTACTGTCTATTGCCGCATAGCACCAATAACGAAGTGAAGTATCAATAAATCGTATTTATTAAAGTGTCTATTTAAAAACAGACTAACTGTGGAGTGAAGATACGTGTAATAAATAATATATTATGAATAAAAGTAATTAATTACATATTGTCTGTAGTTTACGCGAATAGTACAGATTTAAATAAAACACTTTACCGGTTACTGGTTTTACATATTTCTTATTCACTAAGTAATTAGTACGTAAATATATAAAATAAATTCCATATTCAAACTCACAATCATCAAATCAATAAAACATTACTTTTTAATAAAACAAGGGGGGGGGGGGAAAAAAAAAAAAAAAAAGGAAAAAAAACCCTTTTTTTTTATTTGTAGGGGGGGGGGGGGGAACGCCACCAAAAAAAATTTTTAGGGAACCCAAAAGACACAAAAAAGGGTTTAAAAAATGGTTTTAAATTACCTTATAGCACATCAACTACAATTATATATAAAAAATTAAATTACTTAATTTAAATCAAATGTATGTATTAAATATAAAAAACCCCCCCCAAAACATCAAAAAAAAAAAAAAGTGAAATTCAAAAAAAAAAAAAAAAAAAAAAAAAAAAAAAAGGGAAAAAAAAAGAAAAAAAGGGGGGGGGGGGGGGGGGGGAAAAAAACCCCCCCCCCCCCCCGGGGGGGGGGGGGGGGGGGGGGGGGAAAAAAAAAATCCCCGGGGGGGGGGGAAAAGGGGGGGGGGGGGGGGGGGGGGGGGGGAAAATTTTTGGGGGGGGGGGGGGGGGGGGGGGGGGGGGAAAAAAGGGGGGGGGGGGGGGGTTTTCCGGGGGGGGGGGTTTTTTTTTTTTTGGGGGGAAAAAATTTTTTTAAAAACCTAAAAACACTTCAACGGTTTAAAGCGCGATATATATTAGTTATACCTATTTGAAAATAATTTTACCTACGGCCCGACGTTTTGAATCCTTTCAGCAGCCGTGTCACGTGGTCTCCCCGAGACCTAGTTTTCAAATAAATTTAACTAATATATATCGCGTTTTAAACCGTTGAAGTGTTTTATTTGAAAGTAATGTGTTATTGATATTTCGTTACACAAATAATATTGGAGTTTGAATATAAAATTTGTTTATTTATTTACGTACTAATTACTTAGGAAATAAGAAATATTATTAGAATAAAAAAAAGAAACACAAAAATTTTTGGGCGATAAGAATATGTATATTTTCATATCTTATGTACAATTCGACGATAGGATTAGATGACAGGAGGAAATTACATTTGTTGCGAAAAAATGACGACATAATTTTTAAATATTACATAAAACGAACACTTTTTCTAATCCACCCGTGACTTCTGGTTTTAGTTACTCATAAATAAATGTTAATTAAAAAAATCTCTAAAAGTACTGAAAAGAGAGCCAGAGAAAAACTGTAGAAAGGTGAAGCTCTTGAAATACGTATAATTTAAAAGAAAAGGTCGAGAAACCAATTTAACGCTGCTTTTACGGCCATTTGAAATTAAAATATTTTCAATTTATGCAAAGATTATGTAGAGTGATGCAGATGGTGCTTTTTGCGTACATTAAGGTTAAAGATTAGAAAACAATATAACAAATTAAATGAGTATAATGTGTTGAGGAATATAGTTTTGAAGTGATTTTTCATAATATACTTTTTGGAGACGAAAAAAATAAATCTGCGTTAAGCATTTCCCACAAGTAAAAAAGCCATCAAATGTTCATATGCGGTTCGATTTTAGTCCGTGGTTCTCCGAATGTCCTAGAAAAAATAGATCGTCATAATACCGCCCTAAATTATCGTAAGAAGTATTATAAGGGCCAACCCTTATTAGTAAATTTTAATAAAGTACTTGCCTGTCCCCATAACTTATAAATAAAAAATACGAGTGACGCACAAATACTTTTTATTTATGGTTATACCATAAGCGCGAGAGGTCTTGGGTTTGAATTCCGGGGACACAATAGATATAGAATCTTATCAACTACTTGCATATGAGTAAAATCGACACAGAAATGTGTTTGCTCCATGCTCCAAGGGGGATACGGGATTTCACTAGTATGATGATCATATTGAGATTTATTAGTTAAGCTTAATTACATGTCAAAATTTCCAGGGATTCAACGTCCGTGGGTACGATCCATCTAAAGAAGCATTAGCAGCAGCTGCTAAAGACGGTATATCTGGTGCAAATTCTATCGCTGCAGCTGTTGAAGGTGTGGACGTGGTAGTCTCAATCTTGCCTAGCAACAAAATTGTGCTTGAAGCATACCTAGGAAAAGATGGCGTTGTTGACCGCGTAAGTGAAAGAAATCATGATAGTAAATATAGACAGCAATAAAAATTATATTTTCGTAAACTTTCCAGAACTTTGTTATCATGTCAAATTGTTCCAGGCGCTTAAAGGGTCACTTCTCATAGATTCCAGCACGGTAGATCCAAATGTGCCTAAAGAAATCTACCCCGTTGCTTTAGAGAAAGGCAAAGGTTTTATAGATGCGCCTGTTTCTGGTGGTGAGTTAGACAGTTTGTTTTGTCGGATAGAGTATTTTTTTTACTACAACATCTGTATACTGAAGTAATAAAGAAGAAGTAAGTGAAGTCTTTCAAGTCAAGAACATTAGCACAACTGGTTTATAATAGGGGAAAGCCTAGAGGCTTGGATGGATGGATTTTGTTATAGGTTTTGTATTAATTTAGTCATAATTTTATGACTGATCAAAAAACACTAAAACAAAACAACAACTTATCGAGCATTGCTTTCAACGTCGGTTTCTAAAACATATAAAGACAAACTGCCATCACCAACCATCTTAAGAACAAACAGTATAAAATAATCTCTCTTCCTTACACTTGACCTAAAACAGATTGTCTACAAGCCCCAAGTACAATTTTGTTAGTACGAAATAGTATTAAAAGCTTCAGCGCTCAAATCAAAAGATACCTTTGTATATTTACGGGAATTGCCTCGTATGTCATAACAGATAAAATACTGTTTACATAGTTTCCGTTGATAATTTCAATGACAGTTGATAACAATACCGTTACGTGTTATCACATGACTTACATAATAATGTTCTATTTGATCTTGTTTTCTCTTATCAAGTTGTTTTTAATTTCATATATTTCTTCCTTCATTCATCAGCAATACACTACGTGTACAAGTAACGCAGCCAGTCGTAAAGATGTTCGACCATCGAAAGTTTATCGACTAACTAAATTATATATATATATATATAAGTATTTACTGCAATAAAATTGAAACAAGATGTACAATTGTGGCGATGACCCAACAATTTGAATTCTTATTGGTTGGTTGGTTAGGGCAGAATATATAAAAAATTTATTCAGTAATTCCGGGTTACTAGCATTAATAATTAAGTGTGGTAGAAAATCATGTCTTCATATTAAATAATATTGTTACTTAAATACTGTCTAAGGTTTACGCGAGTAGTACACGGTTAAATAAAACACTTTAACGGTTTAAAATGGGATATCTTAGTTAAACTTATTTGAAAATGATTTTTAACTTCAGCCTGAAGTTTCGGATGCTGGAGTCACGTTTAAGGGGCCGAAGTAAAAATCATTTTCAAATACGTTTAACTAATATATCGCGTTTTAAACCGTTAGTGATTTTTATTTGAATATTGTTACTGTTTAGCGAATTGCTACAACTACTTTTACGGGCACAGTTGATAATATGTCACATTTTGTTTGAAATCTAAAAAGCGTTAAGAGAACTTTCAAATCAAACGTATGTCAAATCTATTTTATTCTGCGACAGTGGACAGACTTAGTGGGCTTACTTGAAATACCCTAGCCCTCTAAATATGGTCCCCGTAGATCTATTTTGGCTTTGACATTCGAAAATTCGCACACTGAAACCAAAACGGGATTAAACTTCAAGGCTGTTTCATCGGTTCGTGACCAGGATGAAATTTCGATATTCCTACCCACCAAACTAATATCCAGATTTTAAACGAACTTCAAAGTGTTTCAGAAAGATTACAAACATCAGAAACATCTTGGATGGGGATCACACTTCCGTTGATTATTAGCAATGCATTGCTACCACGAAGGCAATTAAACGCCAAAACGTCAATTGAAGCTGCGACCATAATAATTATATATTTCCAGGTGTTATGGGGGCTCAAAATGCCACCCTCGCGTTTATGTCTGGAGGTCGGAAGCAAGATTTCGACAGGGCTCTACCTTTGCTTGAAGCGATGGGCGCGAAGCAGTTCCATTGTGGTGATATTGGATCTGGGCAGGTGGCCAAGCTAGCTAATAATATGCTCATGGGCATAACGGGAATGGCGACAGCCGAATGTATGAATATGGGTATTAAGTAAGTTATAGACTTCTCTTTTGAAAACTAGCACGAAATTACTAGAAACATTATTTTCAACCTTTGATTTCTATCTTTATTTCACCCGCGTTGTTATTACACTTTGTTTAGTCTTAGTAAAAATTGGTTCGGTATATCCTTTTCTCTTATCTGTCGTTGGGATAAAAAAATCTAATCCTAATGACGAAATTTTAATCCAAAACCCAAATTTTTTTTTTTATCTTTTTTTTTCTTTTTTTTTTTTTTTTTTTTGTTCCGAAATACCATTTTTACTCAGTAAGTTTTCGCTATATCCGAATATTTGTAGAGTTCAAAAGTGACGTCTGCAACGTGTAACAATTGTTTGGGATTTAACTAAATTAAGTATTTCGTGAAACAAATTCGCAACATTCGTCACGTCAAAACAAGCGATGGTCGGGGAAGTTTGTAATTTGCAAGTGTCCAAGTGACTGCCTCATTATTGTTAATTTGCTCAGCTTTACAAAATGTAAAATCGGCACGTACAGGCATTAGGAGAAATGTAAGCGGACGGTCTTTTTGTTTTTGTATAAACAGTTTTTTTTTTAATTAAATAAGGTTGAGGTTTTATCTCAATAATATATCAAATGTGCTCTGAATACATGTATGTATGAAATAGTAAGCACAGATAAGAATGGAAAAAAATAATTATTAATCGATACACTTATTACATTACTGTCACATTAATAAAACACATACATTTATTCTAAAATCCAATAATAATAATATAAAGGGTGATATTAATTCAAAATTTTATAAAATCGATAGTTTATAAACGGCCTAATGTAACACCCACTTACGTTAATGGAAATTAAAATTATCCATTCTAGAGGTGTATTTTTAAATTAAATACAGTCGTAATTCAAGCCCATTCTATTGGAAATTAAAAAATATAAAATTATATTGATTCATATTTTATCTTTATTCCCAGAGGTATTGAAGTTACAGCCTGAAGCCGTGACTCGCTGAGTTCATAAACATCAGTGTAACAAGCGAAAATGAACTCTTTCTGAAAGTATTACAATGTATTCTCCCGCGACCGATCTCTTTAAAAAAGGGCCAATAAGCTTTCAACTATAATACAAAGAGATAAGACTTATTTTCGTGTTACTCAATAATACTTCCGAAGTTCAGTCTTCGGCTTAAGAGTATCTTCGAATGGCCAATCATATTTGTATGTAAATCAAAGGGTTGAAGGGTTTTTATTAAAAGCGTCAAAGTCCTTGTCATTTTGCAGAGATTCGGGTTATTCTGAGATTTGCCGGTTACTTGGAATTTTTGTTTCATTTTCTGGGAAGAACAGATAAGCACTTAACCCCCTTCCCCCCGGATCAGCCGTTGATATACGTTTGATAAATCTTTAATATCTTTACAGAATGGGTCTGGAGCCACAAGTTTTACTGGACGTGCTCAACAACTCATCAGCGCGTTCTTGGTCTACTGAGGTGTACTGCCCAGTGCCCGGTTTAGTACCCACAGCACCTTCTAGTAGAAATTACGACAATGGTTTTAAGAACCAACTCATGGTTAAGGTAGGAGTTATTAAAAACAGTCCTTTCTTTTAGAAGCATAAACAATAAGACATTATAAATGTCTATATTTTATAATAGAGAAAGATAGACAAGCAGGGACTTGGTGTTAGGTGAAGTACTCCACCCATATATGATCTAAACAAGATTATCTGTCGACCTACGTGCCTTTGGATATTCGGTAATCCACAGACTAAAACCGAAGCGCGATTAAACTCCACGGCTTTTTCATCTTTGCGCGTTGGTTGCGTGACCCGGTCCGAATTTCGATATTCCTACCGTCCATTTAATATCCAGATGTCCAGACGAAGTCCAACATGTGTCAGGAAAGTTATAAATAGATTAGAAAAATGTGGGACCTGGATCGAACCCACGACGGTTGATTATGAGCCATACATTGTTACCATTACACATATTAGTATTTATGACAGCATAAATATAAAAGTTGGGTTTATATTTCAGGACTTGGAACTCGCTAGCCAGATGGCGCTAGGAATTCGTTCACCCATACCACTTGGGGCTGTCGCGACACAACTATACCGCGTTGTACAGAGTCGTGGATATGGCGAGAAAGACTTCTCATTCATCTACCAGCTTCTAAAGGAAGAGATTGCCAAGAAATAGAATAAATAACGATTTTAATATGTCTTTTTGTTTTCTTTAATATTTATAAATCATAAGTGTCATAGTGTATAATCATAAGTCATTATCATATTTTATTTACCTTAGTACACTGTTTAAGAACTTTTTTTTTATGAATTGCAAGAGTTTTTTTCATATAAAACATATATTACATACATTATTCCAATTTGACATTGTTTTTGGTATGTACTTTGAAAATATATTAGTAACAAGCATTAAACATGGCGCAATGTAGTTTTGAGTGCAAAAGGCCTCCCCTTACATTAAACGGTTGACTTTATTCACTAATAAACATACCGGTTTGCTATAGAAAAACGCTACAATATGAAACAGCAGTTTTAAAAGAATCTTACAAATGTCAACATTACTTCCACAAATAAAAAGGCAACGGCTGGAGAATTGCGACATTTTTAATTTCCCGCGAAGGCTTAGAAAGCCGAATGGCCGCCATATTGGATTTTTTTGTGAAAAAAATCGAAAGGACAATAGCTGGGCCGGTTCCGTCATAATCATATTTTTCTCACACAAAAGAGTCTTGCAATAATGTGGCGGAATAATAAATGGGAGTCAAGCGTTTGCTCGTTCGGGGCTTGGACCCTTTTGCCAAGTTGAGCTTATACGTTAATGCGAAAAATAATTTCTTACGCTATTATACTTAATGTAGATTCATGATTTTCCGCTCTGGATTCCTTTTTTTACGAAACGAGTCAGCATTTGACTGTATTTCGCCCCTTATAGTAGTTAGTAGTAATAATAGGACCTACAATAAACATAAGATAATTTGACTGACTTAACTGAATTCCCTTATTTCCTAATCTATACTAATATTATAAACCTGAAGTGTTTGTTTTTTTGAACGTGTGAACTAATCTCAGAAAATTAGACCATTTATGAGGCATGGCGTGAAGCTATATAGCATCGGGTTGAGATCAATAGGAGCGAAGATACAGTGGGAAATGTAAAAAAAAAACGGGAAAAATTTAACTTTGTGGGTGTCCATTGCGCTCCGAAAACGGATCTAGATGCCCAAAAAATATATGATCTTGAAATAATTTCAATTCATTTCATATCAACTTACAAGAACCATATTTATACTAATCAAATTTTGTTGAATTACTGCAAATGGCAAGTAGGTTTGCCAGGTCAGCTAGTGTTTTAAAAGATAAATAAAAAAAAATTTACATTTCCGACATATTTTTTCGTGCAGCAGTAATTCCCATACTTGAACAATTACTGTAAAATCTAATCTCCAGTTAATATTATTTGAGTCACGTAAGCTATCTCACAAAGGAAAATTAAGGGAGTTTGTGCAAAAATGTTCAACCTTTAAAAAAGGCAATTCACATTACATGGAATAAGATCAAACTCTAAAGCTTCATCGAAGTCGTTTCCTATTAGTTATGTACATATTAGGGGGTATCCTCCCTTGCGGTAACGGATGATACCTATATTTGTATAAATAGAGGACTAACCTATTTTTAATTTTGAGTACTTAAATTTTTACGTTGAAACACTTGTGTACCAGTTTGTGTGATGAAACCCTGTACTAAGTAAAGTGTATTGGCAAAATTTAAATGGCATTCCACTCACGATCGGCCATTACTCGCTGACAGTGACTTCCAATTCGCTAAATTGTACTAAAACGATACAAAAAGTACTATTTTATACTGAAAAATTCACCCTTTCAGGGGCCAAATATGGTTGAGTTTAGAACAAAAGATTTGTTACATAAAAATTTTAATACAAGCAGAAAATTGAAATTTTTGTGTATAAGTGAAATTGTATTTGTCATACCGCTATTTCATATTTACTATGTTTGGATAAAACTAGATTTCTTTATGTTCATAAGTTATTATATAAAATTATACGGAATTAAACGCTAAAGTTGTAATGTACTAAAAATAATAATTAGTACTCTAGACTATAGTTAATATTAGATGTATATAAAGTACCTACATTTCTCACATTCTCAGTAGTAAAGCGATTTGGGTCAATCATGAAAGGTCCAGGGTTCGAATCCTGAAGAAACTATCGTTTTCAGTTGTGAGATATGCATATATGAAAATTCAAAATAAAAACATACTATCTGTAGTTTACGCGACTAATACACATTAAAAATAAAACAGTTTAACGGTTTAAAACGCGATGTATATTAATTAAAGCTATGTAGAAACTATTACTGCCCGATGTTTCGCTTGCTCCACTAGACAACGGCTGCTGCAAAGTTAAACTATTATAAAAATAATATAATAGTGTTTTATTTAAATGTTAAAAGCCAGAATATATAAATTAAGCAATTATTCCTAAGGATAGTCTGTGCTAGAAAAGTCTTGTAAAAGTACGTTGTAGAGTATAAATGAAAAATCACCGAAACACGTCTTGCAGCGGGCGACAAAAGATCGAGCGTGACTCGCGTACTCGTCGAGATTTGATGCGTGTCTGCGAGAGACAGTCCCTTTGTTTCATCAGCTTCTTGTTAAGTATCATTTTTACATTCTATTCGCAATTTAAAATACAATAAAACATTGTTAATCGACCTTCTCGAACGAAAGCTTAGGCAATATAGATTTTTTACGACAAAAGAGCAAAAGCAGACTACCTTCTCTTGTTGGAAGGTAAAATGCCTCCAACCTATGACATATAATGTAAATATAAGTAATGACTTTATGACCCAGCCCACCTGGGCTGTCCCAAACTGATACAAAACGGACCTACTACTCGTTGGTTATCTATGCTGTATAAAGCTCTTCATCTAAACAACAAATGAACAAAGAAAGTCTCCACTTTCTTTGTTTATTTGTTGTTTAAATTTTGCTAATCTCAGAAACTACTCGTATTATTTTTGGGTCGGATTGGATCATTGAGAAGGGCTAAGCTTTATATAAATGATCTAAAAAATCCACAACCAATTTATAGTCAACTAATCAAGTCTGATCGAAATGGTGCATTATTACCAGCTATTTGTTGTAATAATAATTATCAAATAGTTGTATCTACATAATTAATTAACCTTGCAAACATCGAAAAATTTGCCGGATCAGCTACTTACATAGTCGCCCTTTATAACGTATATGAAAATCATCATTGTATTTTTAAATCCGTCTCAGTAATAATCATGATTCATAGACATAAAAAATAAGCCTAATACCTAGGCAGCAATACCTATTTCATCAGGCCACCGGTTCAGAGATTTGGCACGGAGCCACAAAGCTAAACCCAGCTCCCAATGGGAATATCAAAACTTATCAAATTTTCACGAAGCCGGAAACGCAAAAACGGAATTCGATACAAACGTGGTAACGTAACGAATTATGCAACGATATTAGTAAAGCCTAAACTAATAATTTTTTGTATGTGTTACCGGAAGTGTATAATATATAGGAATTGTAAGCAAGTCCTAGATATAAGGAAACTTATACAATTCCCAAACTATTCAGGAAATTTATAAAATATCGTTTAAAAAACTATGTACAATTCCTAGGAACTGTGTATAATTCCGATATTGTAGTAGGGTATGAGGTATTTTTGTACTTGTTTCATAGATGAATTTCTACAAGCGAGTGTTGATAAAAAAATTCTATGATAGAAAAGCTAAAATAAAAACCTTAACGCTAGGCTTTAACCATTGATCCACCGAGAAAACTTTGAGAACCAAATTAATTTTAATTCTACACTAGAATAGACATCGGTTTGCTAATAGTTTGTTTTTATAGTAATGTAACTTTAATTACATTTTCTTTGACGAATAAAAATGTTAATAATACAATCACTTAACGTAAGTAGGTCATTTTCTAAAACGTTACAAATGAAGAAAACCGTTGGAAAATATGTTTGGTTAAGGTTATAAATTATTCTTCGCGAAATTTTCAATGTTCCAATATTCCCAAATGTAGTATTTAAAAGTTCCATCGAGATTATTATAAGGAATTTTATATTCCATGTGGCTTCGGCTACTTATATTTTGTGACTCCTACTATCGTCACCAATGCGTATTGCGAATATATAAAAGGAGTTTTATTCATTCGCATCTCGAATGGGAACTCGAAAGTCGGAGAATAACTCTTTATCTTTAATACTGTCTGTAGTTTACACGAGTAGTACAGATTTAAACAAAACACTTTAACGGTTTTACTTAAATTCTTTATCTTGTTTATTACGTAGATGGAATAGAAACGCGTTGATATTAGCTAACGAGTACCTAAATGATTGTGTTAGGAATGGTAATATCTAACGATAATCTAGTTTCAGCGTCTTAGTTTCAATTATTTTAATTGATTGTGATTATTATATGACATGTATGTGAAATATTATGCCTTTAAGGTTCCACGCTAAAATTATTGTTCATATTTTTTTACTCACCTAATATATACACCTTTTATACTTTCTTAAGGTCGTAGTTTGTCTATTCCCTCAGTATTTTACTGTATATATTATTAAAAAGATATATTTTTTGTTTCGGCAGATGGTTTATTTAGTAGTCTTTCAAAGAGTATTACGATGTGGTTTGAATATTATGTCGATATGAAATTAAGATGTTACAATAAATTATAGTTACGTGTGAAGTAACTAGTAGGGGCAATGATTCGCGTTATTTCAGTCACGGATTTACAGCTCCTTTGGAATAAGACAAACGATTGTACGCGGAGGAGCAAATTTTTGTGGGTTGCAAAAAGTTATAATATCCATGTACCAATTTAGGGATTTCGTTGGATTAAAATATAAAAACAATGAAATTAAAATTATGTCAGTAAAAAAAGGTATGAGAAATTAAATATTACAAAGCGTAAGCATCGTCTGTAGTTTACGCGAGTAGTACACATTTAAATAAAACAATTTAAAACTGACTTGTATTGAAAGGACACGGTGAGTCATTTATGTAAGGACCCAGCTGATTTGTCCAAATACAAACTAAGAGGCAACAGATGGCGCTATCGTATTGGATTTGGCTTTGACATTAGGGACGCCTTTCAGCCCGCCCCTGA